TATTGGTCCCAAGGGGTTTATCTGTCCTGGATTCCCTGTGTTTCCAGCTCTTATCTGTACCAGTGTACATCCTCTGGTTTAGCCAGATTTTTAAGGTAGAATTGGGATCTTGATAGTGGTGGGGAGGAAGCATTAGAGAACTAGAGGAAAGGTGTATGTTTCATTGTTGGTACACTGCACCCTGACTGGCTTGTCTCCTCCCCTTGACCCTCTGTAAGGGGATGTCCAGTTGCCTACAGATGGGCTTTGGGTCTTCACTCTGCACTCCCCCTCATTCACAATGATATGATTTTTTTGTTCTTTGATGCCTGATACCTGATCCCATTGACACAGGCTGGCATGCTTCTTCCATGTGGGCTTTGTTGCTTCTGAGCTAGGTGGCCACTTGTTTATCTTCAAGCCTTTAAGACCCCAGATGCTATATCTTTTGATAGCTGGGCTCCATCAGCGTTCTTTCCTACGTTTGATTATGCACCTGCCTTGTCTTCAGCGATCGTGTCGGGAAGGTGAGCATCATGGAATGCTAGTTTAATAAAACAAAGTGTTCTTGCATTGAGGGAGTACTCGAGTTGAGGCCCAATGTCCATCTGCTACCTTAATACTAAACCTTTAAATATATGCACATAGATCTACTTCACTCATCACCATTGATTTTTAGATCACTTGTTCTCCTGTCTTTGGGTTTAACACCCACTTCCTTCCCTCCCCCACCACCTCCCCCTCTCCCATGTCACCCTGGAACCCTCGGTCCCATTGCTTTCTCTCCAGTTTGTTTATCCCACCTATCTTATCCAGATAGACATGCAGAGACAATAATATGCACAACAAATAAGGCAGCGCTAAACAAAGCAAAAGAAAACAACAACAAACACCAATAACAAGTAAAGAAAAACCTATAAATAGCTCGAGGTCTGTTTGTTGACCTTTAGGAGTGTTTTCTGGTTGACTCTGATGGGGTGCCATGCCCTTGCCCCAAAGTCTATTTTTGGTATCCTAAGGACTCAGTTACTCTGTTCCTCTTGCTGTTCTGTTGCATGCCCTTAGTGTTTCACCTCGGTATGGCGGGGTCAGATCGGGCACATTTCCTGCACTGTGTCTCCAGTGTTGTCTCCTGCAGAGTGAGGGACATTGCGTCTCATAGTGGGGCTGGCCCTATAGTCCTCTCTGTGCACTAGGTACTCTGAGCAGGAATATCATCCTCAGGGATCAGTGGGCCAGGATGTGTTCCACTCTCTCTTCCTCTCTCTTTATTTGCACCTTTATGCTCTGATCAGATATCTCCCTCTCTCTGTGCTGTAGCTTCAGTGCTGTCCTCTGAAGTGAATTCTTCTGTGGGAAGGGGTGCTGTCCATGTAGTTGGGGTTGGGGCTAGCCCCTCAGACCTCTTTATTGGTTCTCTGCTTCATGCTGGTATGTTGCATTCACCTGTTGCAGCAATGGGTTGAAATCTAGTCCCTCTTTCCCTGTGGAAATATAAACAATACCCTCCCCTGGTGGATTAATGCCCTGTTACCCCACCACTCAGAATTTTTTTTTCTTTTCCCCCCTTCCTTTTTAGTTGGCTACCATATGTCTCTCTGGATTTGGTCTGGCCCCTGCAACTGTTCTTTTTCTCTGTCCTCAGGACTCTCTCTCTTCCTTGACATTGGAGGGTTTGACTCTATGTGGTGATGTTTTCTTTTGGGATCAATCTTATTCGGGGTTCTCTTATCCTCTTGAATAGTTATTTTCTCTTACTTTATGATGTTGGGCCAATTTTCTTCTATGATTTCTCATACTATTTTCTCTTTAGAATTGTTGGTTCCTTCTTGCTCCAGGATCCTGATGAGACATAGTGTTTCTCTTGAGCGTGTCCTACATCATTCTCAGGCTTTCTTCTGATTCCTGCACTTGTCCCCTCTTGATGACTGCTTCTCCCTTTGTTTGAAGCCAGGTTGATTGTCTTTGATCTCACTGATTCCATTTCCCTTTTCTTCCATTCTATTCACCAAGTCTTTTACTATTTTGATAATTCTGTTATCTCATTGTTTATATTCCAAGATTCCTTCTGATTTATGGATTGCAGTTTTTCTGTGTCATCCATTGTTCCCATGAATGTTCCCCATATCTCTTGAAGGGACCTAAACATCATCTTTCTGAATTTTGTTTCTGGTCATTGCAGGAACTCTTATTCATAGTGCTCCACTGGGCTTGGCTGACATTTGCTTATTGATTTTTCTTGATTTTTTGGTGGTGGTGGGGTGTTACTGTGGTTTACTACTATTTCCTTAGCACTACGACACGTCTATTTCAGTGTGTGATCTGCTGGCTCATGGAGGGTCGTTTGTTCTGTCTTGTGACATGGGAGAGGTGTAATAGGAGCTGGAGAACATACCATGGTAAAATGGAGAAAAAGGGAGAACATGGGTGAGTGGGGAAAGTGTAGAGAGAGGGAGAAGAGAGAGAATAAAATAAAAGTAATATTAGTAATAATAAGCAGCCACCTCAATAGGGCAACAGGTTTGTGAAAATAATTGGCTTATGCATGTTAAGGGGAGTAATCTGAATTAACTGGTCTTGGAAATATATTTCATGAGGAAAAAAAGAGAGCAAAAAGTATTAATGGGTGCGGCTGGAGAAAATTGCAAGCAAATATTCAGACCAGAAGAAGAGGATTTATGGATATTTATCTATGGATAGATAGGTATGAAAAAAATCATTAAAGAGAGAGAATGAAATTATAGGAGGAAGGAAAATCAGCAAAGGTTAAGAAGACATAAAAATAAAGAAAATACAAGGAGAAAAAGAAGGAAAACAGCATGGATATGTAGAGAAGAGAAGGGCAGACCAAAGAAACAGTCTGTGGGGCTGACGCTGGAGGTTTGTTGTTAGGAAGGGTGACTGTCGCTTGGTCTGTGAACTCAAAGGGAAAGTGAAGCAAAACGAACCATTGATTGGGTGAGGGGGGCCAAATCTATACAGGTCAGCCTACTTATGCCTGGGAGAAATGTGTAGTCTTGGGAGGGTGAGGTCATGCTGGAAGAGGAAGTGGGTGATAACTAGAATAAAGTCATAAAAGTATTAT